TTCTTTAGCTGTTTTGAATTAACTTCTGTTGAACGTTTGAGTAGTTAATAGATAAACTACTGTGAGCTATTGTAATACTGTACGAATATCTAAGGAAAATTAAGCATTTTGTGATAATAATAAATTTTTATTCATTTTTCATCAGACTTGTGCATTTATTTCATAATGAACCCATACGTACACAACAATAGTAATAGTAATAAAATATTTTTATTTAATTTCCCTTCTTTTTTCCTATTTGAAATATATAGCTTATTTAATATATTATATTCAGTCACAAAAGTGGTGGTATAGCTGATGGTGTTTTAATCTTATGTTGTTAAAATTACTTTGGCCATAGATGTTTGCAAAACTGAAAAAAGTATTTATATTATCTTAATGCTAAATATCTTCTAATGAATGTTAAATTTATAAAGCACTTAAAAATTCTCTTCAATAAGAACTACATTAAAAATTACTAATAGCAGTAGTAATAAAGTGGTAATATGTGCATAAAAAAGAGGTTAAAAAACCTGATGCTTTCTTAATATAGAATTTTATCAAAGGAAGTTTCCCATTTCAAATGAATTTACAAATTTTCCATCCTAATAAGAAAACGAAATTATTTTAACAAGAAAGGTATTTAAAATGATGTAATTTGAAACAGTGATACAAAATAATTTATCCTACAAAATTAATATGTTTAACTAATTTTTGTATTTAAAATTACTTTTGTATTTTAAAATTGTGTTTTTCAAATATGGGATTTCCTCATGGGTTGTAATTAATAAGCATAATACACAGGGAAGATAATTTTTAAACTGTGTTTTATCTTTATTATTTACAGTTTTGTATGCTAATTATATTTGATGCTTATTAGTTTACAGATTCCTAATTTTTAGTAAAAATGAGCAGCGTATTAAACTGTTTTTAATAATTTAGAGTTTTCAAGTTGCGCAGAAGGAAGCAACTATTAAAGAATTGGAATCTGAATTGAAACAAGTGATTGATAATAGTGCTGTGCAAGAACAGCTTTTGTTTCATGTTTTTCAACAAAACAGTGAGCATTTTGCTGATTTGAATGTTAGTTTACCTGCTCCTTTTGAAGAATCAGGTATTTATAATTTGTTTTATCTAGTGTTTTAAGTGGTAAATTGACATTTTTAAAATGAGTGTATATGATTCTCTTCTGCAAGTTAAATGCATAAATACTTTTCTAAAACATTTTTTGATGTACGAGGGTAAGTTGAAAAATAAGTTTCCCCTGTCGACTGTGGTCAGAGTTGTGTATGAAAGTCAAAAAATAGAATGAGACATTAAAGATATGACATACCTTTATTTTTCCAAGTACCAAGTACATTGAGACATTTGTCATATCGCTTGATAAGCTTCAAAAAGCCTTCCAGGAAAAATCAGGGCTTTGCATATGGAAGAAGCGTTGAACGGCTGTTTCACTTAGTATGCTTCCAAAGCGCCTTTCCCGAGATTTTTCTTCAAAGCTGGAAACAGATGGAAGTCGCTTGGTGCGAGATCAGGTCTGTATGGCGGATGGTGTAGGCACTCCCAACCAAGAGTTGCAATATGGTTTTGCATTACCGTCGCTGAATGTGGTCTGGCATTGTCATCTAACAGCAGAAGGCCAGGCCGCTTTTTCCGAATTGCCTCTTTCAGTTTCGACAGGGTGTCACAGTAGCACGTAGCATTGATGGTTCCAACCTCCAAAACGTCCAGCAACAAAACTCCTTGGGCATCCCAGAAAACTGTGAGGAGCACTTTACCTGCAGAGAGAGAGTTGTCTTGAACTTTTTTCGGACAGCTGATGACGGATGTTTCCACTCCATAGATGCGGCCTTCGATTCTGGCATGAAATGGTGGACCCACGTTTCATCCCCCCGTCACAATCCAAAACAGAAAGTCATTGCCATCTTCATGGTAACGCACGAGATGTTCCAGGCTGACCCCCATGCATTGTTCCTTGTGTGTCGAGGTCAATTGTCGGGGCACCCATCGCGCTGACACTTTTCTGTATCGAAGAATGTCGGGGATGATGTTTTGAGCTCACTTATGTGAGATTCCAAGTTCTGCTACTTTATCGATGGTGATACGCCGGTTTGCTCTAATCATGTCATCCACCTTCCTGACATTTGCATCTGTAGTGACCGTGCGCGTCCGTCCAGCTCTTGGTATGTCCTCCACTTGCATACGTCCATCACTGAATGTGCAACACCATCTCCGCACCATTTGCTTCGACATCACACCTGGCCCACAGACTTCCACGAGGCGGTTATGAATTTCTGTTCCTGATACTCCCTGTGCCCATTCATAGCGGATAACCGCTCTCACTTCCTCCTTTGACCATGAATTCAAAATGCACCTTCTCTCCATACCTACCGGGGCTCAAATGAGAGGCTGGTTTCCGCTTTGCGCTGGCACTGCAACAGAGCCATCTGCTTGATTTTCAGCGATCTCTATCCAATGGTGTATCGGTGACTTGCGCTTTTTCCTGCTGTGTTGCCTTTCGCGCATAGCCGTTCAACGCTTTCCATATGCAAAGCGTGAATTTTTCTTGGAGGACTTTTTTGAATTTTATCAAGCGATATGACAAATTTGTCAATGTACTCGTACGAGAATAATAAAATAAAGGTATGTCATATCTTTAATGTCTCATTCTATTTTTTGACTTTCATACACAACTCTGACCACAGTCGACAGGGGAAACTTATTTTTCAACTTACCCTCGTAATTAACCTCTTAGAGACTGCTTAGTTGTAGAAATCCCCATACAATGTTTCTTGTTTATTGAAGAAATGTATCAATTTGATAAGACTAATTATTTATTAGCAGTTTTAATATAAAAAGAGTTAATTTGGGAAACTATTAGATATTATGAGGAAGCAATTTGCAGAATATAATTTGTAATGTGCAAATGAGTGTAAAAGAGATAATGATTTATAGCAGTGTTATTGGTTTAGAAATTATGGGTAGTTTATTGAAAAGTAATCTCATAATTTGCTACAGCAACCAAAATGTGTACTCGGTTAGTAATATTGCACAACTTGTTATCTGATTATTCAGTCACAACTGTTTATCTGATTTATTAACTGTATTGTTTAAAAATTTACTCATTCCAGTATTATTTCCAGTTGCTGTAATCATATTGTAAAAATTTATAATGGGCACAAATAGAATTGCATTGCAGGTATTGTAAATAGAAAGCCTACTTGTATGTAATTAACAAATTTCTAAGCTACTACGAATCTGCTTGTAATCTTAATTTAATAAATCATATACACATTCATGTTGTTATTTGATTTTTCTTGTAAAATCTGATGTATTAAGAAATTTTTTTTTGGGGGGGGGTTGCTAAATAAGCTTTCTTTGCAGGTAACTTCATCATAACTGAGCAATCTAATGGCAACAAGTAATAGGTTTTTTACACTTCAGTTCTATATATTGACAGGAATGATCACTAAGATATTAATGCAATGGCTTAGTATCATAACTTTTGTTTAGGAGATTTTATTCCATATAGTTGATTCTTGCTCTGCTTTTTATTAGATCGGTTTATAATGTATGTTTCTTTGCAGTTATTTGAAATCTGTAGAATACAAAAAAATGCATTCTTAATTTTTTTAATAGATCATTCCAGAAGTAGTTCGAGTTCAAGGTCAGCTTCTCCTGTTGATAGGTAAGTTTGAAATATATGAAATAGTTTCTGTTTTACAATATTTTCAAAATTCATATTAAGTACTATTTATGCAGAATATTTTATGAATTCAAAATACTTTAAAAATTCATTATAAGTAAACCATAAATAATTAGAAGTAAATAATATAGAATTCATTATAAGTAAATGAGAAGGTATTGTATTTCTTGGTAAATTTATATATATATATATATAGAGAGAGAGAGACAAAGAATATGTAGAGAGTACTCTATGAAGGCAGTCATGGCCAGCTATAAGATGGAACAATGTGACAAAATTTCTTTCTAGGCCATTCGGGTACTTCGGGAATCTGTCTAAACTACAGTAGCGATCGCATGGTGCGAGAGACCTCAGTGGCTTCGGGTGTGTATTTGCTTTACTCGTGTCACCATCTATTAGCACCTATGAGAAGTGTAGCAGCACATGAGTTTCGCATGCCCTTGAAGAAGATAAAATCCTTGGGATTCGATCTTGGGTCTGTTTAATGCGAGTCAAATCTTTACCACTAGCGCAAAATAGCTCCTGTGCACTAGCTATTCTGACTCTTTAAAATCTGCAAGCATTGGAGTTGCTCTCCAAATCACTACACGCTCCCTTCCCAAGTATTTCTGATGTGATCTGAAGAGAGGCCTAGTGTGTGAGCATGGTTTTACGACCACAGTGCACTGATATTATTGATCATTGCCTTGATGGGCGATGACTGTGGCTCCAGTTTGTGGGCATGCTCAGTTGGAACCGTTGATGTATGGTGGAGCATGGTTCAGAAGGTCCATTCTGTTGGCATTTGTGTCTTCATTGGGTTGAGGTGGAGCTTGTGTGAAGAGGGGCCTTGGCTTGCGTGATGCAGTTAATCATTCATCCTCAGCAAAGAGAAGTGTTTGTAGTTCTCTGGGTCACCAATGTAGTGATCACATGGTGTGAGAGACCTCGGTGGGTTTGAGTATGTAGTTGCTTATTCATGTTGCCATCTATGAACACCAATGAGAAGTGTAGCAGCACATAAGTTTCACATTCCCTTGAAGATAATAATGACCTGGAGATTCGATTCTGGGTTTGTTTAATTCAAGTTGAATTACTAGTGCAAATGATCTCCCATGTGCTAGGTTCAAGAATTCCAACTCTGTCAAATTTGCAAGCGTTCAGTTGCTCTCAAGATTGCTACACTGCTATTTGGGTACTTCAATAATGTGTCTAAACTGTCTTTTGGGTACTTCAAGAATCTGATTTATTTCTATCTATGAGTTCTTGGGAAAAGGAGTTCTTGAGGACTTTCCTACATTTGACTTGGAGTTGTAGGGAGACCAGGTTGTGATGCTTCAAAGGCAGAAAGCTCCCTTCTCAGCTAAGAAATTGGTGGTTTTATTACCCAGATATTCCATAATGAGCAAGAATCGATTGAAACACAACATCTTTGTCATTACTTGAGAACCAGTTAAGGAGATTGAAACAGAATTGACAATTGAAGAGCAGGAATCACTCTTAATTCAACAGCTTAAAGGATGGTTCTGGAATCTGATAAGAAAACCACCTTTGAAAAATGCCCAGGCGAGTTTGTAGTTATAGTAGGGCTTGATTGATGGTCGCGGTTTCACTGTTAAGAGCAGTTGTATATGGCCAGTGGGTGCATATAAAATTCTTTAAAAATTATGAACGACAAGGAAAAATGGTACTCAAAATGGATCCAGCTTATTCCTCCACCATATGACATTAGATTGTTACATTATATATTGGATGTTATGTTGTTGTTCTTGCTGATTTTCAGGAGTAACCAGATGTAGTTCTGCAAATTATGACCTAATCAAGCAACCACCAGTGAAGGATTTGTTTGCCCTGAAGGTCTTGTTGTAGTGATTGCTGCCTGAAAATTGTGATTAAATTAGAAGTTTTTTAAGTTTGTGAATTATGCCAGCTTTGAACAAGAAGCTAAATATATCAAGTCTGAAATATAAAGACTCATATTCTGCATAATTTTCATACATTAAAGTATCTAATTTTTTTTTAAAATTACATTATGCATGAAATTCACCAAAATTATTTACATATATACAAAATTCCTAACACACGTTGTAGAGACATTAGGAATTTTGATGCTGGATAGACGTGAAAAAGTGCAATGCCCTCGCCAGGACTCGAATATGCGTCGAGCATGTAACCATTACACCACGAAGGCATATTAAGAAGGCAGGAGATATACCTTATATACTTCCCCTTTTAAAGTGCGAGTGGGGATTAGAGGACCCAATCGTCAAATTCTTATTAGAATCATCATCCATCATCTTTTTTAGTTCGGGAGCTACTATAGAGACAATAGGATTTTTGATGCTGGAGAGACGTGGAAAAGGTGCAATGCCCTGGCCGGGACTTGAACCATGGACCTCTCGGATACGCGTCGAGCGTGCTGATTATTACACCACGAACGCATACTAAGAAGGGGGGAGAAATACCTTATAAGGTTTAATTCTGTATATGATAATTATAACTTGCTTAATAAATTATTTTAAAAAAGTAAATGAATTTTTAAACTACTCATTTTGTGATCATGGCTTTTGAACAATATCGACTCTGCCTATTATCATCAGTATAAAAGATTAAGAATGCTCCCATGATTATGACAGTATTTTTCTTTTGCTTTAATTTTTAAGGTTTTTCATTGTACCATCTTATAATATAATGTGCTAAGGATGTGTGTCATGTGTCAATCGGTAAAGCGTTGTGTTGCGGCTGTGAAAAAAGTATATGATAGGTTATTTTTAAAATTTAATTACAAAACTCGGCAATATGAAACATGTTGCCACTCGCTACATATTTGCCTTTCGAATTCAATCAAGGAACTTCGCAATTTAACAGAAATGAGTTGCCACTGCTTGAATTAAAATATTTTAGTCTTACACGAAAAGTGTTCTCTCGTTCAGCAAAGCGAATACAAGATATTTACAATAATTTTACTTTCAAATTTATTCTTTTATTGTAAGCTAATATTTAGTTCACTCATAGTGTTTCACTGTGGGTGAAATTTTGTCAAAGATTTTTAACCTTTTTAGTTATAAGGTATAGAATTCAAAGTTTGCATACACATTGTTTGTCAATGCAATATAATTTCCCCCCCCCCCAAAAAAAAAGTTTCTCTTTTTTTTTTTTTTTTATTTAACGGTTAAAAGATTTTTCGCATGTTTTTTTCATGAACGAACTAAGCAGGAAAATTGGAACTTAATTTCAGAATATTTGAAAATCGTTCGATTTTTTTTAAAGACTATTTCGGGGTTGATTTTAAAATCTCAACATCTAAAAATGTATCGGATATAAAGTTTTGAAATTTTAAACATTATAAAACAAACTTTTTGGCCCTCTTTTAAAACAAGAATGATAAAAAAAAAATAACTAAAAAAGTGTTTCTCGCGAAAAATTGCTTTTGAGTTTACCATCGTGGCGCCTGAACGAAAATGAGTTTGCCATCTTGGTGTACTTAAAGACAAACTAACCATATTCTCTTTTTTTAGTCCAAAGGGACTTTGTCCCTGAAGGACTATTATTTTCATTTTCCGATTTTGCGTTGGTTCATTATAAATGTCCATTTCACTTTTCAAACTTTTGCCACCAAATGTAGAGTCCTGCATTATATTTGAAGAAATTAAATAATAAAAAATCTGCATAAATGTAACTATATTTCTTGCATGGTGATAAAACAATGGTACATAGAGCCATTGAATTTTGAATGACGTAATCCTATTGCGAATATGGGCATGTGGAAGCGCAAATTTGAAATTTGTTGTATTATCGATTTCATATTTTGTAACACTTTAAACGAATTTTTGATTAACATACTCAAGGATTTCAAAGCGAGCAATGGCAATGCTGTACAGAAGAAATATTTTTATATCCAGTGCATGAGACTGCGTATCGGAGATTCTAAAGATATGCTAAATTTTAAACTATTTTGCGGTATTGCTCTTGAACTGAATTTTATGCTTTAAGTGCGAAGAACACGATATTTAATAAATAAAGATGACAGACAAAATGTTAAAAAAACACCCCTTTGGATGTAATTTAAAATGTGAAATCTTTCAGTGTTTTTTTTTTTTTTTTTTTTTTAAGGTTAATGGAAAACATTAGCTATTTAGTCGTTTACTTTGGTTTTCAAGAGTGTTCCTTTTCTGCTCATCCAACATCTTGGCAAATGAATTTTGGAATTTTATGTTTATGTTTATTTTAAGATTTCTGTGTTTTCATACTTCAGTCAATTTTTGTCTTTTCTTTGCAGTTATTTTGTGCATTCTAGCACTTCAGTTTTTCACGTTACTGATTATTTTACAAATATAAACCAAGTTTTCTTCTAGCATAAAAAATGTAATTTGTATTTTGTATATAATTTTCTTCGGATCAAGAAAGCTGTATCTTGATGACTGATGATTATCATTATATAATTTTAAAATTTTTAAATGTCTTGGAAAAATTTAGAATACTTCAGTTTTATACATTGCACAGTCTGCCAACAGATTTATCTAACAAAGGCTTTAAAGGATAACATATAAAAATCAATATTTTACTTTTTACTTTTTTTGTACACCGCCCAGATGGCAATGCAGTTTATTAGGTGCCTCCATAATGAAATGACTGCTATTTCTGACCTTAGTGGCCAGAGTCTAAAAAGGTTAGTGCATGCCATTAAGGTAAAAAAAGGGGGGTATTTAACTTTGTTTTATTCATTATTTTGTGGTTGTTCATAAGTCTAGATGAATTAAATGTTGCATATTTCCTTCTAATAATTATTTTAGTTTGAAATTTTATGATTAAGATTTGAGTAATGTTTTATGTTTGTATTTTGTAATTACCAGTCATTTTTCTTTGTTCATCGAGTATTTAAGAATGCTGTTCTTTTAAATGTGTATATGGTTTAGAAAATGTATAAAAATATTTATTGGAAGAATTTAGTAATCCTTTTTTTCAGTTGAATTATTCAGCGTAAACAATGATTTCTTTCTCTCCTTCATAAAAGTTTGAGTATTATTAACTTATAACTATATAATTAATATATCAGTAATATTTTGAATTAAAAAAAAGTTGTTGGGTTTTGATTACTGTATTTATAGTGATTTGATGCATTAATAACTAATAAGAGTTTTTCTTTCCTTTTTCTTTCCCTTCAACACAATTTTTTTTATATGCATGTGTATTAATGCAAATGCATATAGCAGTTTTTTTCTATTCATTTTTGCTTTTCTAAGCATCTATCTTTTTTTGCTATTCTTTCTTAATTTTAACAGGTGACTACTTTCTCTTCAGCATACTAAGTTTTATATGAGACATTATTCAAGCATGCTACAGTAATTTCCTAAGTTTTCATTTTGTCTTCTTTGGATGGAAAACAGTGCAGTGAAAATCACTTAACATTCTAAATCCAGTATATTTTGCATGTAAATTAAACTTCTGTGCATTTTCGTTTCCATGCTTATTTTAACATTTTCTATAACAGTTTAAAACTTGATCCACCTTTTTAACTTTCTGATACTTGTTGCCTTCATTTTGCTTCTTAATCATTGTAATTTTATTTACATTTATGCAATTATTATATTTTATATTTCTTTCTTTTTTAATATATTTTATTTTATTTTTGTTATTTACATGTAGCTAGTAAATGCATGTTGCAACTATTAAAATATTGTTTTATTACATTATTTGCTCCTTTTCTTCTCATTCTGCTTGATTTGTACCCCTACCTACATAACTCCTCATTTATAGTATTACAAGTTTTTTCCGGGAATCAACAGTTACCAGTGACAGATCAAGAATTAGAAAGGTAGGATTATATATTCAAATCTGTATCATACTGTTGTGTTTTGTGAATTGTAAGTGTCTATGTACACCACTCGACATTCAAAATGCAACACCCAGAGGGAGTGGCCCAAAAATTAAGCAAATTTCAAGGTAGATGCACGTCACCAAGTTATGCTAATGATGTGGTCCAAATTTTGTGCCGTTATTTCTGCTAGGAAAATCATCATAGAAACTTTGTTCTTGTCTCAGAGAGCATATGTTATAGCAGAGAAGGCCAAGCTGTCATCAATAGAGACAGTTAAAGCATACAGACAATTTTATAAGGTGGATGGTGTTTGGATTGTGAAGGGTAGATTGGTCCATATGGCAAATTTCAACCAACGCACCCCTAAACACGTCCATAGTGCACCAGCTGTGATGGCAATGGTTGGAATAAGGAAATGTCGCAAGTTTGAGGGGTGCCAGTGCAGGCAGAGTGACATTAGCTTACATGGATCGATGCATCTGCCAACAAGCAGTGGCGCATTCACAAGCACCACTTCTACCTCTATTCTGTAGCACGTTCAAGACACCCTGGATGTTACCATATCGATTTGCCATCAATTAGTGGCTAGTGGCCTGCACATGGCATCTGCTAAAAGACTGCCATTGACACCACATCATAGACACCAACATCTGCAATGGTCATGCTCGAATTATATATGGACAACAGAATGGCACAGAATAATGTTGATCAGATGAGTCATGCTTTTGTTTCTCCCTATAAAAGTCGCCACATACGAGTGTGGCATCAGGTGGAGACAGGTCCTATCTGGCAGCGGTTGTGGAATGTCCCATAGCGTGACAACGTAGCATCATGGTTTGGGGCGCAAATGCATGTGATTCTAGGTTACTTCTTATTCAGGGCACTATGATGGCCCAATGATATGTGGATGATGTGCTGCCCTGCCTTCAGGGAGGGCCCTTTATCAGCAGGATAGCGCCCGACCACACACTGCTCGCATCAATTAACACACTCTGCAAGGTGTACAGTTGCTTCCCTGGCCACCATTCTCTCTTGATCTCTCACCAATTGAACACATTTGGGATGTGAATGGACACCATTTGCAGAAGAGGAACTGTGGCAAATGGTTATCAGGGAATGGAGAGCCATTTCTCAAGACACCATGTGTAGTCTCATTGATTCTGTAGTTGCTTCATGTATCGCCGTCCAAGGTGGTCCTACAACCTACTGAGCCGACGCTGTTTTTGCTCTGTATCATGCATATCGTTTTGAAATAAAGATCACTTATTGTTCATTGCTGTCTGTCTCTGTTTGCCAAGCTTCATCACTTTTTGGCCACTCTTTCTTGCTGTTGCATTTTCAATGTCAGGTAGTCTATTTTTGAGTTGTGGTCATGAATAAGCTTGATTTAAAAAAAAAAAAAAAAAATTCTATGCTTTAGTAACTTAACTTTGATAAAAAAAAAAAAAAAAAAGAAAAGAAAAAAAAAAAAAAAAAAAAGAAAGAAAAGAAAAAAGTTTTTATTGCTATTAGAAAGAGAAAATATAATACAAATTCTAAAATTTGGGGCCCCTAAAACACCAGTGGGGGGAAAAGCATTTGCTCTGTAACAGATTAAATTTGAAAATTATATATCTTGTTCATTCTTGAATGAAAATGCAATGGTACATGGAGATCTTGTTTGACGCACTGGCAATTCATCCCTTTCAAATAGCTGAATGTGTGGATTAAAATTGAAAGCTAAATGCAAAATAAAGGTCCAGGTATTGGACATCTAAGATGCGGATGTCAAATATTTGGAATGATCGAAAATCTGGACGTCAAAGGCCACTAAGAACCCCCATTTTTTTAATGAATTTTTTTGTATGCTTTGCACATGCACATTTTATCCCCCCCAAAAAAAAACAAATGTGTGCAGAGTCTCTATTTCACTTCAGTACTAAAAAAAAAAAAAACTTCGTTATTGAAGAGACAATCATTTTAACATAAATTTGATCAATAATTTGGCTTCGTAGCTGCATATCTGCTTGGCATACATCTCATACATTCTACATAAAAACATCATTAATTTTACACCTACTAATATTTTATATCCTTGACACTAATCTGCCGAATCATTATTTATTATATTTTGCTTTCTTTACCGCACTTTTATCGACACATGACAACTTGAGTAATAACTCGTGCAGTGATGCCTAAATTTTTTTATATATATACGAGTAATTGATTAACAAAGAGTATAGTGTTTATGTTGACATTACTTATGCTTGGTGATGATTACAGATTTAAGTTAAATGTGCATTGAAATGTTGGTGAGGAAAAATTTAAAAAAATTTCTTTTCATGTGCTAAAAATAAATTTTGTTTTTGATACTCATAAGCCAAAAGATTACATTTAGTGCTGTGTGAATGAAAAATAACTGATTTATTACCCAGAACTGGCGCCAGAGCTTGTATTGCTGCAGCGGGCGGCAGAATTTAGGGAAGACAAAATTTTTGAATTCAGAGAAGCACCAACAAATTTAAGGGATGACAAAACTTTTAGAAGATAGGGAAAACGCTAGGATCCATAATTTAGAGATGGCTAAAATATAGAACTTAGGGAGGCACTTGGTACCAGAGTTTAGGTCGCAGATGCTGCATCAGACAGTATGATACTAGAGCCGACCCTCAATAAGTATATGTATGAATTTATTTTTTCAGAACTCAGATAGTCCTTAAGCATGTGCAAGAAATAGATGTTAGTAAATAACTAATTTTAACTAACTAATAACTAACAATTTTAGCATGCAGAAATGCACATGTGTAAACTATTTTTGTAATTGGAAAAAATACACGACCTTGAGCATTTAAAGAAGTAAAGATATTTCCTGTTATATATCATGCAAATAAAAAAGCATAGATGACATAAACGTTAGTGAATGATTGATTGAAAGTCATTTCATACCCAAGGCTCAGCAACATTTCATTTGAATTCAGTTGGTTTACCTGATGACGTAACAATTGTCCTGATTAAGGACAACTGTTTGGCTCATACTTCCTTTTAAAGTTTTAGTGAAAGATAATGTATCTGTATTAGTCTTTCTTCTAAATTGTATGTCCATCGTTCAACCTATGGTTCTTGGAATAGTGCATGTGTTGAATTGGAAATATAAAGTAGCATTTTTAAAATCCATGTTAAATTTCTTGAATAAGGGCAAGACTATTCAAGAATTTTTTGAAATAATTGTAGCATAAAATCTGCAATGTAGAGCATCACAAGATCGTGGGAGGATGTCTCCAGATACTTTAAAAATTGCTTGTATAATTTATGACCTGCTACCATATTTCATGGTGGAGCTGATGAAGATGATAGCTGCGAGTTTGAAGGTTTTCGGATATTGCAAACCAAAGGTGAAATTTTCCAATTAATGAATATTGTATTTTTAAAAAATGTTAAGAAGTGGTAATAAATGAAGGTGATATAACAGAAATCTTTCATTGCGATGACAATGCCGCAATCATCAATTAACGAATGGCAAAATCTGTATTATGGTTCTAGATCCAGAAAATATCGCTACTGACAGTGAAGAAAGTGAGAGGTTACTGAAAACAAAAAAATTTCAATTGACAAGTTAATTGGAATTCTCAACACAGAAATTACAGGACTTGAACAATGGCACTTTGTAACTGAACAAGAAATTATGTCTTATCTATAGAATTAAAGAGAAGGTAATAGCACAAAAACGAAGCAACTTAAACAACTTACATTGAAAGAAATGTTTAATTAAGTAAACAAATATATATTAAACTTTTTTTGTAAATTTTGATATCCTTTAGATCATAAATGTTTCATTATTTCATAAATCATAATTTCATATTTTTAATTTTATAATTTCTACATGCCATCTTACTAGATTTAAACTAATGATCTACTATCTGAAAAAATCCCAAATCGAAATCTGAATGAGTTCAGATCTTGGACTTTGTACTGTATCTTACATTTTGCCGAATGGCAATAGTTTGGTGTGCTCAAGATAAAAATATTTTATTTCGAACAGTGTTTCCATTTGTCGCTTTCAAGTCGCTGAGCTTGTTAAACAAAAATTCATTCTGTTTGTAAAAAATATGAAATAAATCAAAAATAAATTCAGAAAAAATAACAAATGCATTCTACTTGTGGATCTAGTTTATTCTTAGGATGGTATCACAGAATTGAAATTCAGACATAGCTAATATCTTTAATTGAATTTATTCAGTTTCCATTTGTTGATGGGTCCTTAATTATTTTTTATTAATGGTCCTTAAAAGTACTTAGTTTCCATGCGCAAAAATATGTACGAACCCTTATAATAAGAATTGGGATAATCTCTAATACCAGTTTGTTCCAATTCAAAAAAACTTCTTCAATTGTGTCTCGACATTGTCATAAATTAACCCACAATGGATGAATGGTTTCTCATATGGTAAATCTTCAATGCATCCTCCCACCAAACACCTGAATGCTGGTTTTTGTAACACTAAAACTGTATTGGGTACATAAATTTGCCCAAATCTTACCAAATCAAAAAATATTTCAGATCCAAGAAGTAACTGAATTTTACCCGGTTTGTGAAAGTCTGGATCAGCTAATGTAACTCTTTATGGAATCTCAATATTACACACATCAATTTATCTAGAAGGCATCAAATGAGTCATTTTCTTAATTATAAAAAACATCTAATTTAACTGTACGTTTATCTCTGTTTAAAATAACCGCACTCATTTTTGATTTCATCGTTGTTGAAATCTCAGATAAACATCCTACTTACAGTTTCCTTTTGCAATTGAAGCTTTTCAGCTATTCTGATGAACAAAGATGGATCATACTTCCACTGTCAAGCAAAGTTCTGGGTGGAAATATTTTCCCTTTATACAAACAATTGCTGTCGATAATAGCACTCTATTCACTCTATTACAATTTTTATTTACAATAATAGCTGTCATAAAGCACTCATTATAGATATTTATGAATGGCTCCGCATGGACTTTGAGTTTCGG